CGCTTCTGAAAATAAGCTGTATAGCTCAGTGGGCCTTGCCTGGTAAAACACAAACTAGTTTGTAGTGTAATAGTTCATATGATGTGGCTCTACACGCTGCCGATAGACTGTTCTCTAAACAGTGCTGCGTCAAAGTAAACACCGTGGCGTGTCGTTTTCTGCGTTTGGTGTCACGCTACACCGGAGGCAAATTACTCGGTCCACTAATGGTGTGGGCTCGTCTATGGCGTGTGTGTGTGTGGTGTGTGTGTGACGTGTGTGTGTGTGTGGCGTGTGTGTGTGACGTGTGTGTGTGTGAGAGAGTGTGAGTGAGAGACGTGTGTGTGTGAGACGTTGCACAGCAATTAAACATGCACTCTGTGTTTCTTTATGTCTGTGGGTGGTTCTAGTCACAAGTGTAGATTCGAGTGAAAATTGTACCAAATCCATGTGTGTGTGCTACGAAGAAGGGGTCATTGCCCGAAACGTCGCCGACGGTGTGTGGTTTTTTTGTCTTCCTGTTATGTATTGATCAATGCGAGTTGAATTGAATCTTCGCTCGTTTGTTAATTGTCCTTGTTGCACCACAGCCAACGCAGCAGCAGCAGCAGCATCATCCCGCATCTCCGATTGGCACGGTTGGCTACGTACGGCGCAAAAGAAGTTCAACATCCGTACAGAGCACACGTACCCAAATAACTTGTACCAAATCCGATCTCTCTTATCTGGGCTTCTAGACCCCCACAATAGATTCCACATCGGTCACCACGGCCCGTACGTTACTGTTCGCATTCCAGTATATGCACCCATACACTACAGTATTTGTATACTGTAGTATATGCACCTGTCTTGGCCGAATGCAGCACAGAAAGTACACAGAGGGTGGAAGAGGCGGACATCCTGAGTTCGGTTCCCGGCCACGGCTACCGTCAGTGGCGAACGATGTCCGAACCCTGTCCTGACCCACCGCTCCTCCGGTCACCCTTCCTCGACCGCGTGCACTGCCCAGCGTGGTGAAGTATGGCGAAGGCAACTTGCACGCGCGTGGCACGCCACGAGGAGGAGGAGGAGCGAATTGACGACGGGCTGTTAGTTCGTCTTATTGTTGTTTGCGTGTACAAATATAGCGTCTTCTTGGTTCTTTCGGTAAAGTCACGTAGAATGGAAATAATAAAATAGTAAAAATAAATAATAAAATAATATGCCATTATTAAATATTATAAAATAACATTATATAATTTTTTCTTTCTATTATTTTATTATTTGCCTTCTACGTAACTTTACCGAAAGAACCAAGAAGATGAATCCCTGCAGTCACGAAAGCTTTAAATCGAAAAATATAGCGTCTTTACAAACACGTATGTTCGAAACGAATGCACATTGGGCATATTGAACGAACGTAGAATCAAAATGAATGGAATGATGACGAAAGTAACGATATGCAATAGTCCTCGCAGTGTTTCGACATCGCGGAGTGTGGCACCGATTTCGGATTGATTGGTACCCCAGTCGCGGAGTTGAGTACACCCCTGGACAAAAACAGTGTCCCAGAAATAACATATTGAATTGCCTAGGCCCATTTTGTATTATTCGGTACCCCGGGGGTACCGCCATAAGGATAATTTTAAAAATAAATCCGTGTTAATATCCTGAATACGGAACGCGTCCGAAGTGTAGGGCAGAGACGGAGTGATGACAGAGTTTGGTGTTGAGAGCGCAAGCGGTGGATTGTTATTCTTCGCGATCGGGGAGAGATGCTGGTGGCGTCGGAGACGTAGGGAGGGTTGGCCTTCATCCAGCAGTGGATTGACCAAGGCGGTGTAAATGATTAATCGAGCGCTATAATTAGTAACGCTTATCTTGGTTCTTTCGGTAAAGTCACGTAGAATGGAAATAATAAAATAATAAAAATAAAACATAATAAAATAATTCTCACGACGTTTCAGCCGCAACGCAAGCAGCCGTCCTCAGGTGAAGACAGCGTTCAGACGCTGTCTTCCCGACAGACCTGTTCTTCACCTGAGGACGGCTGCTTGCGTTGTGGCCGAAACGTCGTGAGAATTATTTTATAATGATTTATTTTTATTATTTTATCATTTCCATTCTACGTGACTTCACCGAAAGAACCAAGAAGATGAATCCCTGCAGTCATGAAAGCTTTAAATCGAAAAATAGTAACGGTTAGTAATGGAATCTAACAACAATTAAAAGTCGTCAATATGACGCAATGCGCTCTTGAATTCAGAGGGCTGATTCGACAACCCTTGACATTTGAGTAAAGGTAATCAAATATATTGGAAACAATTTCAGGGATAGATTCGCGTGTGCATGTCATCACGGAGCCTTGAGCTGGTGTTGATGGTTGTTGGTGGTCTTGGTGGTGTTGGAACAGCACTGCAATTGCGTATTGGCCGGGCGTGGTGCTGGCCACCCACCCCCTCGTGTGCCGTGCCGGCCTTAGGAATAGGTGCTCGCTAACAGCACTTGCCCCAGCAGTCTGTTAGGGCTACACGGGGGTCTGTGTTGGTAGTTTTGGTGGTGTTGGTTGTGTTGGTGGTGGTGTTGATGATGATGATGTTGATTGTGTTGATGGTGGTGTTGGTGGTGTTGATGATGGTGTTGGTTGTGTTGGTGGTGTTGATGGTGTTGATGTTGATGACGTTGGTTGTATTGATGTTGATGGCGTTGTTGTTGGTGGTGTTGATGATGGTTGTGTTTGTGATGGTGTTGATGGTGTTGATGATGTTGATGATGACGATAATGTTGGTTGTGTCGATAGTGTTGATGATAATGTTGATGGTGTTGGAAACAACCCAGATTTATTGCCAAAAAACGTTTACGCTCCGCTGAATAAAAATTCAATTCCTTAAAAAACAAAGTAACCTCCCATCCCATCCTAGCACGTGGAGCGAAACGTCGAACATCGTGCCGAACCAACACGCGATACGATCCCGAGGAAGCCGTTCGTCAGCACAGCCGCGGACACCTTTGGCAGTGACTTTAAGTGGGTAAGCAGTCGAGCGATTGAGAAATGAATGGATGGACTTCATATACGACCACACAGACAGGATGGACGTGGCAAGTGTTCTGTGTGGTCGTATACCGACGCGTGCAATGTTCTGCATATGCGTTGTCGCGTTGTTTCGGTCGTTGAAATAAAGACCGTGATAATGTTGCTAACGTCCAAGCAGCGCTGTGAATCGATACTCGAAGTGGGTGTATCACAGCGCGCAGACGCTGTGCGTTTGACATCAACACTGCGTGGTGACTGCGAGCTGTCAGCATCACACGTGCCGCCGTGACATACCACGTCGCGCGCATGTGTGTACGTGTGTGTGTACGCGTGTGTGTGTGTGTGTACGTGTGTGTATACGCTTGTGTGTGTGTACGTGTGTGTTTTGTACGCGTGTGTGTGTACGTGTGTGTGTGTGTACGCGTGTGTTTGTACGTGTGTGTGTGTACGCGTGTGTGTGTGTACGTGTGTGTGTGTGCGTGTGTGTCTGTGTGTGTGTGTAGGTGTGTGCGTGTGTGTCTGTGTGTGTACGCGTGTATGTGTGTGTGTGTGGGGCGCGGTAGTGTAGCGGTTAGCGCGCTGCGCTATGAACCCGGCGACCCGGGTTCGATTCCCGCTCACGGCCAACACAGTGACGATTATCTGAACCGGTCCCAGGCCTCTCCTAGGTCGACTCAGCCTCAAATGAGTACCTGGTGCGGTATGTAAACATTGCCACAAGGGAGGCAAAGGCGGCCGGGCGTGGTGCTGGCCACCCACCCCCTCGTGTGCCGTTCCGGCCTTCGTAAGTGCTCGCTAACAGCACTTGCCCCAACAGTCTATTTGTGTATATATACAATATGTATATGTGTACATTATACGCAATGTCATGTATGTGTATATGTATTTGTATGTGAGAGCGTGCATATGCGTGTGCATATAAGTGTGTGTGTATGTATGCGTATATACACAACATACACACATTACGTGTGTATATATGGTGTGTGGTGTAATATATAATGTCATATCTGTGCATGTGTGTGCATGTGTGTGCATGTGTGTGCATGTGTGTGCATGTGTGTGCATGTGTGTGCATGTGTGTGCATGTGTGTGCATGTGTGTGCATGTGTGTGCTTTGGAGTGTATGTGTTGTGTGTATGTGAGGGTTACGGGAGAGACAAAGGCGGCCGGCCAACATAGGCTGCTCGTGAACAGCACTTGCCCTAAGAGTGCCGCAGGCTACACGGGGACAAATCTTTGCCTTTGTGCGCGTGTCTGCCCCGCCCCTCCTAGGTCGACTCAGCCTGAAAACTAGTGTCTGATGCGGTGTGTATGTGTGAAGTATCATAACCGGGGATACAAATACGCTCGGGTGCGCGTGCCCGTTACCGCCCCAACAGTCGATATGGAATTCACTTGATTCACATGGAATGTATGGAGTACACACATATACCATATACTGCGGTATAAGATACGCATATACAACGCGCACGCCTCGCAAATGAATACGTTCCGTTGATATCTGTGAGCGCTCTGTTAGCAAGCACCTATTAAGGATAGAATGGGGGTCGGTGGTGCAACACGCTCGATCGCCTGCTTCTCGTTTGAGGCTGAGTCGACCTAGAGGAGAACTGGGAAACGACAGCAGGAATCGAACTCGGGTAGCTGGGGTTTGTGGCGTCAACCACCGCACCACGACTACACCGACGTCCCCCAAAGACAAAGATCCTCCATGTAGCCTCGAACAGACCTTAAGGGCAAGTGCCGATTGCATGCAGCAACTTATGCAGGCCGGTACGGTCCCCGAGGGGGGTGTGGGTGGGCCAGCACCACTCCCGACCGCCTTTGTCTCCCCAGTCCCGATGTTTACACAGCGCACCGGGGTACTAAACTTGAGGCTGAGTCGACCTACACACAAACAACAACGACGACATCGCCAGGACTCGCGAAGCCAGGCAAGACGACTCACGACCAACCAGCCGAGCGAGCGAGCGAGCGTCTTCCCACGCGCATCGGACGCGTCTCTTACCCGAGCCGAGCGAGGATGATCCCCGTGCAGAGCGAGATGTGCAGGAGGCCGGGTCTCCGATGACGCCTTCTCATGGCGAGGCCGATACTCGATTCGGGGCTAGGGAGCCCTTTCTCCTCTGCGCCTCGACCTTTGTTGATGGTGTGTTAGAGGCGGTGCTGGTGGTTGGTTGTGGTGCTGGTGCTGGTGGTGGTGGTGGCAATGCCCACCCGAGGAACGTGCCCTCAAAGGAGGGAGAGTCGCGTGGTGCTGGTGGTTGGTTGTGGTGGTGGTGGCAATGCCCAACCGAGGAACGTGCGCTCAAAGGAGGGAGAGTCGCGTGGTGGTGGTGGTTGGTGGTGGCCGCGTTCGCAGGTGAACTGTGACGAGTTGAAGGCGACTCACACGCAGTCGCCCCTCTCCGCCTTCTCGCTCTGTGCGTGTCTCTCTCTCTCTCTGCGCCTGTCCCCGTCTGTCGTGTTACTCGTCGTGCGGCTGTCTCGCCCCTGATGTGCGTCTGTCTCAATCCGCCTCTGCGACCGCCGCTGTGTTTGCGTGTCTCTCTGTCTCTCTCTCTCTGTCTGTCTCTCTGTGTCTCTCTCTCTGTGTCTGTCTCTCTCTCTGTCTCTCTCTCTGTCTGTCTCTCTGTGTCTCTCTGTGTGTCTCTCTGTGTCTCTCTGTCTGTATCTCTGTGTCTCTCTCTCTGTGACTCTCTGTCTCTGTCTGTCTCTCTCTGTCTCTCTGTGTCTCTCTGTCTGTCTCTCTCTCTGTCTCTCTCTCTCTCTCTGTGACTCTCTCCGTCTTACTGCGTCCCACTAGAGTCACCCCCTGTGCCCGTATCTCTGACTGTCTCAAAATCTCTCCGTGTGTGACACGCGGTGTCTCTCATCGCGTGTCTGCCTATGCGCGCGCGCGTGTCTCGCTCTCTCGCTCTCTCGCTCTCTCTCCCTATATATTTATCTCTGCATATCTCTCTCTGTTTGCCTCCCTCGGCCTCTATTTATCTCCCTACCCGCTCTGCATTGTTTACATCTCCCATTATCTCTGACGCAAATCTCCGCGCCCCCTTACCCTGACGGCACCGTTCGTTACGCGCGGCTCGTCCCATGCGCGCGCCTCCTCGGCCGACTCAACGCGCGCTCCTCATCTCCCACAAGACTCCCCGCGCTCTTCTCTCGGCCCAGCCGACAGGAGACATCATCGCCGGCAGCCGTGCGCATGTCGCGTTACGCACGTGCGGCGTGCCGCATGCTGCCGTACCGACCTAACAAGTCGCGACTGCTGTTTGTTTTGTTTCAGTTTAAAACACACCAAAAAAAACACTGGGGGGGGGGCGGTTTGAATCGATTCCACAAACGCCAGCAATATGGGAGGGAGGGTTAATTGATGGATTGAGATCACCTATCGAGCTTTGCTCAGCTTCCTCTCCACAACCACCACCACCAAACCAACCACCACGAACTTGCCCTGTGGTGAAGGTGGCTGCTACCCCCCACTGCAAAACTCTACGACTGTGACTCGCGAAACCTCGCGGTCGGACGGGTTCACGCCCCACGGCGACTGGGAGCGGGGGGCGAGGGGGGGGCACGGAAGGTTTGGAGGTGGAGACTTGGTGGTGGCTAGTGGTGGTTGTGATGGTGCTGGTGGTGCTGGTGGTGGTGGTTGGTGGTGGTGCTGGTGGTGGTGCTGGTGGAGGACGAGGTAGTGTCTTCTTGGTTCTTTCGGTAAAGTCACGTAGAATGGAAATTATAAAATAATAAAAATAAAACAAAATGAAATCATTCTCACGACATTTTGGCCACAACGCAAGCAGCCGTCCTCAGGTGAAGAACAGGTCTGTCAGACGCTGTCTTTCTGACAGACCTGTCTTTCTGACAGACCTGTTCTTCACCTGAGGACGGATGCTTGCGTTGTGGCCGAAACGTCGTGAGAATTATTTTATTATGTTTAATTTTTATTATTTTATCATTTCCAATCTACGTGACTTTACCGAAAGAACCAAGAAGATGAATTCCTGCAGTCACGAAAGCTTGAAATCGAGACGAGGTAGTGGTTCGTGAAGTGGTGGTGGTGATGGTGATGATGGTGTGTTCGTGATGGAGGAGGTGCTAATAGGGGTAGAGGAGAAGACGATGATGATGATTGTGGCGGCTGTGATGGTGTTCGTGATGGAGGAGGTGGTGTTGGTTCTGGTGGTAGAGGAAGTGATTTTGATGGTGGAAGAGGAGGTGATTGTGGTGATGGTGATGGTGGTGGTGGAGGAGCAGGTGATGGTGGTGGAGGAGGTGATTTTGATTATTCTGATGATGGTGTGGTGGTGGTGATTTAGGAACTGATTGTGGTGATGGTGGTGTTGGTGGTGGTGGAGGTTATTGTGCAGGTGGTGGTGGTGCAGGAGGAAATGGTGATGATGGTGTTGGTGGTGGAGGAATTGGTGGTGTTGGTGGTGGAGGTGGTGGTGGTGGGGGGAGCGGCGGGACAGTGGTTATCGCCTTGCGCCACGAACCAGGCTTGCCGCGATATATCGATATATGTCGTACGATAATCGTATCGTCCACTTTGCTAAATATATTTAGATCGTGATTATCGTTTCTCGTTTAATTTAAAATTAATATGAAATTTACTGACAATTTTTTTACAAATATCAGTAATTAAAGGTGGTGGTTGCGGTGGTTGTGGTTATAGCAGTGGAGGTGATGGTTATTGCAGGGGTGGCGATGGTGATTGTCGTGATGATAGTGGTTTTTGATCCAGACCCTGACGCCTGCTGTATATTTGGAGTTCGCATTCTCTCCACGTGGTGGCGTGGATTTGTCTCCGGCTCCTCCGGGTTTTCCCTCCACATTTACAAACACGCGCTTTCAGTGTTTGGCTGCAATAAACGTCCACGTGATAAGCCACTTCGTTGAGCTAATATTTGTGGCCAGGTCGCTTCTGAATAAGTAGCTACAGAGCTCAGTGAGCCTGACCTGGTAAAATAATAAAAATAGTTGAGATCGTTACCCGGTCAAATAAAAAAAAATTACATTTATAGTAGTGCTAATGGTTATTGTAGTGGTGGTAGTGATGGTTATTGTAGCTGTGGTGATGTTAACTGTAGTGGTGGTGGTGGTAATTGTAGTGGTGGTGGTAATTGTAGTGGTGGTGGTGGTAACTGTAGTGGTGGTGGTGGTAATTGTAGTGGTGGTGGTGGTAATTGTAGTGGGTGGTAATGGTTATTGTAGTGGTGGTGATGGTTATGTAGTGGTGGTATTGTCGGTGGAGGCAGTAGGGGGAGCGAGTTTGGGTCACGATGTGATGGGGTGCTAATATTGGTACTTTGACTCTACGGCGCCCTCTACTGCGAATACTAAATAGCACTGCCAGCACCCAATAGTATTGGGCTATGAGCAACCCCTAATAGTATTGTTGCTATGAACAATACGTAATAGTAATGGGATTTGGTCGTACATAGCACATGTGGTAGAAGGGTATCACGGACACCGTGTCTACATCTCTGATCTATGTGCTGTTAAGAAGGCCCATTACCCGAAACGTCGCCTATTGAGTACTTTTTTCCCTTTTAATGCCACAGTGTTATTGACGAATGTGTTGATTTTTTTCGTGCGATTTAGCACCATCTGGCAATGCAGCACCATCACCAAATAATTAGTTTCACGAAACACATTCCTGCGGAGGGAGCTGGTAGGAACGTTGGGTTGCTCGGTCAATGGCCTGCAGGGCCAACGGCGGCGTGGTGTATTCCGCAAATATGCCCGACTGTGAGGGCGGGCACAAGCCGGCGTGAGTAGGTTAAACGTTGAGTTTTATAAGGGCACCACGGGATGACCAGCCCCTCCCCTCCCAGCCCCACCCCTCCCACCCCCCACCCAGCCCCTCCCCACCCAGCCCCACCCTCCCCACCCAGCCCCTCCCCACCCTCCCCTCCCCACCCAGCCCTCCCCACCCTCCCCACCCAGCCCCTCCCCACCCAGCCCCTCCCCACCCAGCCCCACCCAGCCCTCCCCACCCTACTCACCCAGCCCCTCCCCACCAGCCCCTCCCCACCCTCCCCACCCAGCCCCTCCCCACCCTCCCCTCCCCATTCTCCCCTCCCCACCCAGCCCCTCCCTCCCCACCCAGCGCCTCCCTGCACGACGGACGGACGGACGAACACAATAACCCCCTGTGGGCTGGTGGAACCAGTGGGTTCCTACCAGTATAAAGGGTAGCCACCTACTTGCTCTACTGCCTCTATGGACACCGTGTCGCCATCTCCGCGTGACCCACCAACCACGACCTCTATAGCAGCTTGACCAGCTCCGATTGTCACGGCTCACAAAGCACGCGTGGAATCCCGCCAATAAGCATGTTGTATTTATTATCGATGTTTGGCGAATCATGTGAACATTCATTGCTCACGAGACGCTCGGCGTGATAGACGTGAATACAAGTACAGGCGAGACGGAGAAACAATAGAAACGAGACGGTAAAAAAACAAGATAAAAATTATTCTAGATTTGAAGCTTTCGTGACTGCAAGGAATCATATTCTTAGGTTTGTTTCGGTAAAGTCACGTATGTAAAAAAAAATTAATTAATAAAAGTAAAAAAAAATACTACGTGACTTTACCTAAAAAAACTAAGAATAAGATAATAAGATAAAAAATAATCAATTATTGATTCTAATCACTAAGCGGTGGAAATTCCACGTTCCTGTGTGCTTGGTGGTCGTTTTTTTTTCCTCCCAAAAGACAACCGCTATGGGTCTCTATGTGTCTCTATGGGTGTCTATGTATCTCTATGTATCTCTATTAGTCTCTACGTATCTCTATTAGTCTCTACGTATCTATATGGGTTTACTTTGTGATCCTTAGCTTGGGTTGCAAGACCACGATCGCACTCCTCTGGATTGTCTGTAATGTATCCTTATGCGTCTCTATGAGTCTCTAGGTCTCAATGTATCTCTATGTACCTCTATGGGTATCTTTATCTATATGGCTTTACCATATGATTCTTAGCTTGGGTTGCAAGACCGCAATCCTATGGCTTGTATTTAATGTATCTCTATGGGTCTCTATGTGTCTCTATGGGTTTATGTCTCAATGTATCTCTGTGGGTCTCTATGGGTCTAAATGTCTTAATGTATCACTATGTGTCTCTATGGGTCTCTATGTCTTAATGTATCCCTATGTGTCTCTATGGGTCTCTATGTCTCAATGTATCTCTGTGGGTATCTATGGGTCTATATGTCTCAATGTATCTCTGTGGGTCTCTATGGTATCTCTATGGGTCTCTATGGCTCTATATGTCTCAATGTATCTCTGTGGGTCTCTATGGTATCTCTATGGGTTTCTATGGGTTTACTATATGATCCTCAGCTTGGTCTGCGAGGCCACAATCCCACTCATGTGGCTTCATTGTCCCCCTTACTGACGAAGGCCACGTGCGCTCGTGACGTTTTGATGACTCACGTCTGCGTGTGCGCCTTGCATCCTCTCCTCCAGTGCTGCTGCTGCTCCTGGCGGAAATAAAAGTTGTTGAAAAGTCAAAGTCTCTCCTTCCTGGGAGTCTCTAGACTCTCACCCCTCTTCGTACCGAAGGAGGAGGAGGTTTTGTTCGCGCGTGGCCTCGTACGCCCTCTCGCGGAGAAGGCCCTCGTGACCTGCAATTAGCGTAAAGGAATTATTTGGTGACAACTGGCATTGGTGCAAAAAGCACACTAACCCAAAAACGACACGGTTTTTTTAACGCAGTATTTTTGACAGACGTGTTGCGTTTTATTTTTTTATTTTCAGCACCCGGACATTTATGATTCTGGCAAATCACGCCGTTTGTCCCAACAGCCCGTTGCAGGCTGTGATGCATTAAAAGGCTTGAGTTGTTGACGAATGTGCTTATGGAGGGGTTCTGTTGTTGTTTTGATTTAAAGCTTTTGTGACTGCAGGGATTCATATTCTTGGTTCTTTCGGTAAAGTCACGTAGAAGGGAAATAATAAAATAACATAAAAATAAAACAATAAAAATTCTCACGACGTTTCGACTGCAACACAAGCAAACATTTCTTGCTGTGGATTTCACACCTGATGATGATTGCTTGTGTTGCAGTCGAAACGTTGTGAGAATTTGTATTGTTTTATTTTTATATTATTTTAGTATTTCCCTTCTACGTGACTTTACCGAAAGAACCAAGAATATGAATCTGTTGTTGTTGTAAATAAATTGGCGGGAGGTGCTTGGGTGACTCCCACATGAGACTGATAATCTTGGCACCGCTCAGGACCTGAGTTCCACTCCAGGTTTCAGACTCCTACAAAGGAAACCGT